ACAAGACCCACTCCTGAGCTCAAGCCGCCTTTCTGAGTACTGACTGAGGGGTGAAGGTGCGCATGGGATCCATGCTTATGAGCACGGTTGACAGCGAACTCGATAGCCTCTTCTGAACGACAGAGTTCTTGAAAACCAACCGCATCAAACCGATCAGGATAAGCCTCCAGGGAAATATCGGCATTGGACCAGGAGGTAACAGTCACAGTGACGATGACCCAGTCCCGACGCGGCTTCTTACCGAAGGCTGACTTGTCGGACGGGGTCTCCGGTGTGCTAAAGGTCAGACGGGCCCTTGGGTTTGGAGCCCTGGAGAGTCTCCACCACTGCTGGGGTGTCGGCGGGGGCAGAGGTGGCGGCAGCCGACGGCGTACAACTTCCTGACTGTCCCGAGAGATCAACAGCGACATCAGGGGCATGAGCAGGACGTTTCGGCGCAGGCGGCAGTGAGGAAGAGGATCGGGGAGGAGCCCTGGCCACACGTGTTGGGGAACCTTGCTGGTCGACAGACATCCTGGGCTCCTCAGACTGGGACCTAGGTCCACTGGCAACACCAACAGGAGCATAACCAGACAGAACGATACCCTGGAGGTCCCGTAACGCCTGAGCAAGCTTCTTGTCTCTCTGAACTGCCTGGGAAGCTGCGAAGACGTCCGCCACGGCTGAGAGATCTGGGGGCGTGAAACCCTCAGGAACTGGCTCGCTCGATGGGAGATCCTGCAACTTAGACTGCCACATCGCCATATCCTGGGCGACACGCTCCTGACGGGAGCAGAGGGCATCCCTTTCGCTCTGGAGGTCCAGAATCTTGCGATCGAACTCGCGAATCTGGCTAGAGATCTTGTCAAACTTCTTACTGGCCCAATGGTGACGCTGCTTGTAGAACGCACGCTTCTGGGGAACCGTAAGCAAGTCAGACTTTTGTGCGCGAAGATGCTGCAACTCGTCCTGGAGACCCAAGACCTGATCACGAACGTACTTGGTTGGCGGAAGCAGGCGAAGGGACTCCAACTGGCCCAGGAGGGCCTTAATAATCTGATCAATCTGCGTAACCGAGAGCTCATTGCCATTGGTGTCGACACAGCCGCCATCAACATCGATGTCGTCGTCGACATAGTCAGCCCAGAAACCACGATCACTGCCAAAACCGTCGTCGCCAGAGTCATATCCGAATCTATCCTGCACTTCCTCATCCAATGGAGCCTGGAGACGTTCATCCAAAGACCGAACTGGGGGGGTGGCAGTACCGTCAACATCATGACGATCATGGGCACGAGCACGGGGAGGAGACAAGACACGATCACTGCGACTGCCTTTGCTCCTGCCTTTGCCGTCTTTGTCGCCTTTGCGACCATGCTTTCCTGGGACCTGTCCTCTGGAGCGGCCAGGAAAAGGGGTATTGCAGAACTTACACTTCTGGCGGGGGCTGGTGTCGGGGATCCACGAAGTCTTGCCAGCATCGCGACAGACGAGACAGACGAGATATCCCATGGCGCGCGGCCCGCGCGACTCAGCGGACAGCTCACACGCCAAAACCGTCCGAGCCTGCCGCACGGCTGTGGACAAGCTCGAAGCCTCGCGGCAAGGTTTCGAACTTGAGCCAAAATGGCTACGGATTCGAGTGGCAGCCGCTGGCTGCAGAGCTGGGGGAGGTTCCACTGCGAGTTCCGGAGGCCTCGTTTGTCAGAGGAGGAAGCCCAGACATGAGTGTGCCGTAACGAAAATCAGGACGGGAGGTTTTTGGCCAATTTCGGCTTCGGGGGGCCTTCGCCGGGCCCGGGGACCGTCTAAAACGATTCAAGATGAAAAACCGGCCCCGAGGAAAAGGTTGGGACTTCCAGGGGTTCCGTGTTGAAAAAATGAGGACGTCGCATGTCTGGGAAAGGTGCCCATACAGCTTACCTCGCCAAGTGTTCGCCTTTTTGGGGCCGCCTCCCATACCCTTGTCGCCTCGTCGCCACCGTCGGATTCGCCCCGGAATATTACAGTATTGTCGGAGCGCACCCCGGGAGAGGTCCGGGGAGTAGCGGTATCGGTACCTTTTGGTCTCCCCAGTCTGTCTTGTAAACGGCTGCTCGTTTCTGGTGCCCGATGTATGTTCGACGCGGATTCGATGCAGGTCCGACGTGGATTCGACACAGATGCGACGCGAATTCGACCAGTTCGACATGGGACGGACAAGGTCCGCCGAGGATGCAGCACAAGGGAGGCGCTAGAGGGAGGGCAGTACGTTGGCAGGAAGGGGAAGTCGTGCAGGACGTTGGCAGAAAGGGTGCGGGGGCGGCAAGGGGGCGGAGCCTTGACGACTAGCCAACGTCTGCTCAGCCAAGGGCAGCACAACAGGAAAGAAAGGAGAGAGGAGGACGGCGAGCGAGGGGGAGTGGAGGGGGCGGATGAGGCGGATCAGGAGGAGGAGGAAGAGGAGGAGGAGCAGGAGAAGGAGGAGGAGGAGGAGGACCGAGACAGAGAAGGAGAGAACAAGAGAGAGAGAGAGGAGTAGGAGGAGGAGGAGGAGGAGGAGGAGGAGGAGGAGGAGGAGGAGGAGGAGGGGCAGGAGGGGGGGCGGAAGGGGAGGAGAGAGGCGTGTTGGCAGAAGCGCCTTTCGGGCCCCAAGCTCCTGAACCCACAGCCGAGGGAGCCAGCAATCAACTTAGGCCTCTCCTCCCCCTACTCGTCCTGGCGTCTCGTCCTCCTCGTCCCGGCCTCTGTCTCCTGGCCCTGCTTGCTCCACCACCTCCTCCGGGCTCGACCTAACTCCTACTGCCTCCTTCCCATCCTTCTGGCCTCTCCTCCTCCTTCCCGGGCCTCCTGGAACGACGTGTGGACGTCGCTTCATCGGCGTCACTGTCACGGCTGCCGACATGTCGACGCGCGAGCGAGCTTACTGGGGGAGGGAGAGAGAGCATGGTAGAGAGCCACGGGGCGGGGACGGTTGGAAGGACAATCCCCTGGGCGCACTCCTGGGCGGACATTGGACAGACAGAGCAGTTCTTTCTGCCCATTGGAGGGTCAACGCGTATCTTGTTATCTTCATGTAAGGCGCTTCTTGAGAGGGGCCCCGCTCTGGGTGGCAACTCGGTCTCTACTGATTCGCGGGGAGAGCATCTATGGAACCCAAAGGTGCACACATTCTCCGCTGCAGAGTGAGGTGGCGGATATTCAGGAGATCCCTCCCTCTGCACTCCCTGGTCCCCCCTAGCGTCATCCCATCATCAGGTTCACTGTTTCTGTCGCGTCCTGTTGCTGCTCCCTTGGTCGTTCGACCGATAGACGTGTTGAGCACGCAGCATCTCTGCTTCCTCTCCCCCGATGCTATGCGAACTCGTCAACGTTATCATTGTCCTAATCGTGCTCTGCCTCCCAGACTGCCGAGGACCAGTACCTACAACAACCTCGTCAAGCTCCCAGGCGGGCCAAGGGCTGCAGTGCAATGCGAGTTCCCACGCGCGGCAGGTGAACGGGACCCTGGAGGGAAAAAGGATGCATAGGAGGACAAGGACACGGTGTTACAACGTGGAGACAGAGAAGGAAGGAGGAGCGGTAGCGGACGTGAGGCCTCGCACACAATGGTGAGAGAAGGGCCATGCGAAGTATATTGGGTTGCATCAGTGACAAACAATCTTCAGATTCGTAAGGGGAAGGCTACGGCGGGGACACGGGCGAATGAGACCGTGGGGGCGATGGCGAGGGTGATGGAGATGGTCAGCGATGCACGGTGGAGGATGGATGTGATGTAATACGTTGTAGGGAACGGGGGATGATGATTGGCCCCCCCCCTTACCGCGTACTATCATGCACGCCCGTTGCATATTGACAGTCTGGTTCGTCCCCTTCGCCAGCATCCTCATCGTCCTCACGTCATGTCGCAATCCAAGGTGCTGCCGAGCACGCCTCTGAACTCGTCATCCTCATTGTGAGTTCTTCTGTCTTCACAGAGCAGTGGAACCACTAGCACTGCTGATCCCAGCCGTCGGCAATCTGAGCATCGTTGCTTTCATCACAAGTCTGTTCCCTCGCGCCCCTGCTCCATGAATGTGAATTTCCACGCTCGCAGCTCTATCACATATGCTCGCTCGTGTTCGGAATCTCTGGATGTAGGTGCGTACGTACGCGTGTGTGCACACGCGCGTCAAAGCGCTCTGCAGTACGAGCGCTTCTCCACGGGGAATGTGTATACCATGTTGTGGGCATGTGTGCGCGTGTGTGCTTGAGTTTCATCCTGCCCTCCGAGCTTCCCGGCCTTAGGCACGGCCTGGTGTCGGCCCGTTGCCCCGCGTACGCATCGATGCTCCGTGCTGCCTCAGCTGACCAGCGCTGGCCCAGCGCTAGCTCTCCATCGCCCTCGGTACTTAATAGAGGATGACGGTTAATAAATGACCGGGGGTCGTGTTCACGCGGCGGCGCCCGGGATGACGATTATAAAAAACCTGCCGCGGGCTGGAAAACTATTCTTTTTAATCGTTCTCCTCCAGTCAGCAGAAATAGCAGAAAACTATTTTTGTTAATCGTTCTCTCCCATTTTTTTATGAATCGTCATCCCGCATTATTGGCTGCAGCTGCTGGCTCCAGCATCGGCGATGCCTGGCTTCGGCGCCCACGCGCGGGGTATCACTTGCGCTTCCACCGCCGTTCTTGCACCGCATCGGCCCAGTTGAGACAACTTGTGCCCGAGTATGTGCACGTGCGTTTGCGTGCGCGCTCGCGAGCTTGCGGAGGTTACTCTCCACTTCACGCCACGCTGTCGTGCTTGCTACAAGTCCATGCCTGCCTCTCTGGCGCTCCGTCTTCTGTCGCTTCGTGCTGCCAGATACCACTATCCGCTATCGTATTCGGCCACGGCCTCGACGACAGTCATCCCACGCGGTTCTTCGTGATGGCAAGTCTCGCGTGCGTGTGCGCGTGCGCGTTTCGTGTGTGGGTGTACGGGTGTGCCTGCGTGCCGTGGACGCACGTGCGCGAGCGTGGTCATGTGTGAGCTTACGAGCTTGTGTTTGTGTACTTGCGTGCGGTCATCACCATCGTCGCCAGCTTCTTCGTCGATCGTCGCCATTGCCGTCCCGGCCGGTCAGCTTTCCTTTTTTGTTACCGTACCAGCCATCGGTTTGCGATGGCGATCCAGGCGTTGGCCTTCTCCATCAAGTCTTCTCCTCCCCCACCTCGTCGTCCTCCTCGCCCTCGGCGGCCTCATTTTCCTTCTCTTCCTCATCCCACCCTTCTCGTCCTCGTCCTCCTCCCTCCGTCATGCGTCACCCCAGTCCCGCAGCCATGCCATTTCCTCCCTTCCCTTCTTTTGGTCCTGACTCGTGTCGTTTCGGCGGTGCCGTTGCATACCCAAGGCGACGTGAATATTGGCGCTGCAGCGTACACCATTCGGTCATCCCAGTTCTCCTCGTCCTCCTCCCTGCTTCCTCCCTCCCTGCGTCCTCCTCCTCCTCATCCTCCTCCGCCTCATCCCCTCTCCCCCTCCTTCCCCCTTCTCCCCCCCTCCGTTCGCCCTCCTTGTCCATCTCTAGTTTTTCACCGCCTCCGTCCCCTTCCCTTCCCCTCCTCCGCACCAGGAGGGAGGAAGGGATGAGGAGGAGGGGAGGCGGGGTAGGAGGGGCAGGAGGAGGAGGTGGAGGAAAGAGGATGAGAACGAGAGGGAGGGAGGGAAGGAGGGTGGGGGACGACGAGATCCCCGTTGCTTTCTCAGACCTCCGATGCCTGGGCTTTCGCTCAATACGGGGTCCCCTCCGGACCACTTTCCGGGACACGCTTTTCCTCCCGGCCGGATCGCTTCTCGCCTGTCTTCCGTGGCCCGGCGAGGACCCCCAGCTGCCGAATGCAACGAGAAGCTTCTGCTCTGTGTTTTCCCATTTTTGCCGCCGCTGCCGCGGGCGTGAGGGGCTTTTCTCTCATCCCCCCTATTCTCAGGGGCAACGTTCGAGAGGGGCAGGCTCAGCATGGGGATGCATCGACCCCCCATCGCCCACTCATCGCCGATGGGGGCCTGGTGGTCCAGCCCGCCCAGGAGTGTGCGCTCTCGCCATCGGGGGCCCATCGCCGATCAGTCGGCGATGCATCGCCGATTCCAGGTCAAGGTTTCTCCCTTCCTGAGCTGGTCTTGCCGTACTCGGGGGCTGCCAACACGGGGGTGATGACTAGGGGGGTGTGTGATATAGACATGAAGGAAGCCATATGCACGCGATATACCTCCCAAGGGCAGCACACGTCATGCGATGCGTTTGAGTTGTTCCCCACCGAGATGTATAGCAGCCTGTCTCCATTCGAAGCTCATGGGCGAGGCCATGGTATCTCCCCGGAGTCCATTGCCTCCTCGTGTCCATTCAGCTCCACTGCGCGTCAGAAGGACCCTTCGCCGGAGCGACCTTCTGGTGCGGGCCGACAGAGGCCCCCCGATGTCCGAGCGCGGTACGAAAGCAGCGCCTAGCGCGGTTGTGTTTTGTTCCCCCGCGGCCACCCAGAGAGCCGCGCACCAGAGGTCACCCCCTCGTCCGTGCACGCTCCTCGGGCCATGGCTTGCATCCCCGCTCCCTTGGACGCCCCCACCCCACCCCCTTCTCGGACGCCACCGACTAACGTTGCCCCCGCCCCCCTCCGCCCTCCCTGTCCAGGTCCATCGCCTTCCTCCACCGCCTCCTTGCGACCTTCCCCCCCGTCCTCCACCGGGAGGGAGGGCTGGAGGGGGAGGAGGGGAGGAAGAGGAGGGGATGTCGGAGAAGAAATGAGGAGGAGGAGGAGGAGGAGGAGGAGGAGGAGGAGGGACGGATGGAGGGAGGGAGGGAAGGAGGGGGAGGACGATGCGGCCCCCGCTGCCTCCGCAGAGCTGACGTTGTCCCCCCTCCCCTCTTGGGACGCCCTCGACGAGCCCCGACCCCCGACGCCGGGCTCTCCGTGGCACGACGTGGACCCCCCCAGAGGTCGGGGCCTGCTCGCCGAGGCTGCCTCCTCTTCCTGGGCCCCGTTGCCTGACGAGGCCAGGGGCCCGGCGGAGGCCCCTGGAGGCCGGACGTGGCGGAGGGCCGTCCGCCCTGCGCTGTGCTCGTCCTGCGAGGGCGGCCCGGGGACGTGGCCCCCCCCCCTTCTCGGGGGCGGCCAAGAGGGGGGTGATGACTGGGGGGGGGGGATCTCATGGCGGGGGCCATGCTACCTCCCCAGATCTCATGGCGCCTCTTCTTATTTCATTATACGTCCCTGGCCCCCCCCCCCCCCGGGCCGCGCACCTGCCGCCGGCCATGGCTTGCACCCCCCCCTCTCTCGGACGCCCCCCTCCTTGGCCGCTCCCCGGCCCTCCCGCGCCCTGCTGGCCAGATCCCGGCGCCCGCCCTCTGCCTGGCGGCGCTGCTGCTCCTGCCCGCGCCCGGCTGGGGCCTCTCGCTGGGCCGCTTCAGCTGGGGGAGGCGGCGGGGATCTCCTCCCCTCCCTCCCTCCCCTCCCTCCCCTCCCTCCCCTCCCTCCCCTCCCTCCCTCCCTCCCCATCCCCTCCCTCCTCCCCTCCCTCCCCATCCCTCCCCCATCCCTCCCCCTCCCTCCCCGGAGGGTCCGCCACAGAGAGACGTACACCGCCGCCCTCCGCTGGATTGTTCCTGGGCCTCGGGGGAGCGTGGCGGTGCTGAAGTCACCGCCGGGAGCCCGGCGACCCGATGCAACGCCACCCTCCTGGAAGGTACATGCAGAGTTCGTCGGAGGGTGTCCGCGTTGTTATTTCCTCAGAGCGTGAATTACCTACCCCGCTTTCGCTTCCAGGCAAAACCAAGCCATACCACGCGCCTCCTCGTCAAGCGGCCTGACCAGTACAGGCTGCAATTTGGCATCGTTTGGTATCTCTTGGAAGCGAGGGTGGTCAAAAGCGAGGCAGGTTTGTTTTCTCCCTATTTCCGTGGCGTAGAGAGGTCTCAGAGGAGCCAGGCTCTCCACCTTCCACAGCTTCCGACCAGCACGTGGCTGATTTTATGATTTCCTCGAGGGGCAAAAGAATACGTAAACAATAAACTTTCGCAGCTCCGCGCGGATTTCTTAGATCGGCGCTGGATCTCCACCTGCTGGTCGGAATGTGTGGGAGTTGGAGAATCAGGGGAGCAACATACTGTGTTTTTATTCTCTGGCGCGTAACAGTCGCTACTTGGGCCAAGCCCTTGCCTCCCCCCCTCCTGGTAACGGCAAGTATTGTACGTTGGGTGGGGGCCTGGGCCCCCCCACATGCTGGGGCTCGCGCGCAGTTCACGGCGGTCGTAGGGCACTCCCGCCCGTTCCAGGAAATGAATGCCGGCGTGGACCCCAAGCAGTGTGTTTCTAGCAACCGATGTGGTGCAATCTATGCGGCGCAATCTGTGCGGAGCAACATGCGTAGTGCTATCTATGCAATACGTTCTATGTTGTGCGATCTATGTCATGAATCTATGTGGTTCAACCCATGCGGTGGAATCCACGTGGTGCAGTCCACGTGGTGAAATCCATCTGGTGCAATCTACGAGGTGCAATTAATTTCTGTTCGCAGTGAGTTGTCCACTCCACTGCTCGCGCAAACATCCCACCCACCCACCCGCAACTTAGTTTGCAAAATCTCTAAAGACCGTGACGGTGGGTACCAAATGGCACTTGGCAACGACAGCGACGCCGACGACGACAGCGACAACGACGACGACGACGACGCCGACAACGACTACGACGACACCGACGACGTCTCCTACGACTTCGACTACGCCGACAACGACGACGACGACGACACCGACGACGACGACGCCGACGCCGACGACGACGTTGACGACGACGACGATGACAACGACGACGGCGATGACGACGCCGACGACGACAACGACGACACCGACGACGACGACGACGTCAACGACGACGACGACGACGACGGCGGCGACGACGACGACGCCGACGTCGACGACGACAAAGACGACGCCGACACCGTCGACGACGACGAAGACGACGACGACGTCGCCAACAAAGACGACGACGAGGGAGGAGGGAGGACGACGACGGCGGCAACGACGACAACGACGACAACGACGAGGGAAGAGGGAGGACGGCGACGACGCGAACGACGAAGAAGGAGGAAGGACGGCGACGCCGACGACGACAACGACGAGGGAAGAGGGAAGACGACGACGACGACAACGACGACGACGTCGACGACGACGGCGACGAAATAGGAGGGACGACGACGAGACGCCGACGACGGACGACGACGACGACGACGACGACAAGGGAGGAGGAGGAAGGACGACCACGGCGACAACGACAACGGAAACGACCACGACTCCGAAGAGTACGACGACGACGACGACGAACACGAGGAAAGACAGAGGACGACGTTGGCGACGACGACGACGACGCGGAAGGAGGGAGGACGACGACGACGACGACGCAAGAGCGCGCGCGCACGCTTTTGTTGAAAGTCTGTGTTGCGAAACCTGGTGTTTCCGTAGGTTTTTTGGACACAAGATGTTGAAATCCTTCCGAAGCCAATGGGTTTTGAAGGATTTCGTCATACGCGCGCGACGACGCGCGCGTCTGCACTTCGCCCCGTTTTTTGCAGAGGATTCTCGCGACGGCATACGCGCAAGGGCGTTCGACAGATTTCGACATGCGCGCGCGAAGCCCGTTTGGTAGCATGTTGTGAAAATTGTGGGAAACCTATGGTTTTCTTAAGATTTCGCATGAGCTCGCGCGTAAGCTTCTTTAGCAAAGCAGTGATGCGAAACCATGTTTTTTCATGTGTTTTGGGAGCTCGATTGCGAAATCCTTCCGGCACCGAAGGTTGTTGAAGGATTTCGGCATGCGCGCGCGACGACGCGCGCGTGCGCACTTTGTTTTTTTTCTCTCCCGCAAGGGATTTGTGAAACAATCTCATCTTGGAACAAAAGAGTTCCCGCGTATCGTTGGTTCACAAGGGAACCTCAGGGGGAGCGATACCGGCCCCCCTGGGATAGTGTAAAATCATATTTAGGGTGGACATGTGCTCAGAGTCATATCGTCGGGGGGGGGGGGGGGAGTCGATTTTCTATTTTATAAGAGAATTCAGCAATGCTCAACTTGAGGTTGTCCACTCCACTGCTCGCGCAAACATCCCACTCACCCACCCGCAACTTGATTTGCAAACCCCATGCGGAAGCGATTGCGATGAGTGCTTGGTGTTGGCTGGTGCATCTCTGCGGCCGCGTTAGGCCGCGTATGCACTTGCGCGCGCAGCGGCCAGCTAGGTTGGCGCGACCGACGCGAACGCGGTGGCGCTGACCGCTCGGCAAATCCCAGCGGGCACTTCAGTGCGAGTCGGCGACTTGGGCGGGTGCGGTATCATGGCAACGTCGGCAACGGTAGACACGATGATGATAGTAGCGATGCTGGCGACGATGCTGACAGCGACGACGGGGCAGCCAGTGACGGCGCCGATGCTAATAACGCCGACGACGATGACGGCGTCTTCGCGTCGGTGATGAAGGTCTGGAAAGGAATTCGACATGCGCGCGCGGCAGACGCGCGAGAGCGGACAACATGGCATTATTCGACACGGATCGTGCCACCCCATCACGCGCGCGAGGTCGTTCCAACGATTTCGATATGCGCGCGCGAAGCCCGCTTGATCGCAGTTTGTTGAAATTTTGAAATACGCATGGTTTTCGTAAGAATTTGCAAGTGCGCGCGCACGCTTTTTTTTGTTGTTGAAGATTCGTGTTGCTGAGCCTTGTGTGTTTGATATTTGTTGTTTGGGCATTCGATTTAGAAATCTATGCGAAACCTTAAGTTTTTGAAGGATGTCGGCATGCGCGCGCGACGACGCGCGCGTGTGCTTTTCGCTGCGTCCTTTTTTGTTGCAGAGGATTTTGAAAACGGATGGTTTTTGATAAACGAATGCGCACGCATCATTCGTATTTGTTGCAGCAGATGGCGGGGGGGGGCGATACCGCGATACCGGCACCCCTGGGACAGTGTGAGTTTATGTTTGGGATGGACGTTGGGGCAGAATGACATCTAAATTGCAACACGAAGGCGGACATTTGAGTCCGGGGGGGGGATAAGGGTGGTAGAGTCCATTCTTTACCTAGAAACGAGAACTAACTTGTGGAGCTTGCAGTTGTCAACTTAACTGCTCGCGCAATCATCCCACCCACCCACCCACAACTTTTTCTGCAAAGCTCGAGCGGCGGCGATTGCCATGAGTTCTTGGTGTTGGCTGGTACATCTCTGCGGCCGAGCCAGCCCACGCATGCACTTGCTCGCGGCGGCCAGCTAGTTTGGCGCGACCGACGCGGCCGCTGTGGCGCTGACCGCTGGGCGCATCCCAGCGGACACTTCAGTGCGAGTCGGCGACCTGGGCGGGCGCGGTATCATGGCCACGTCGACAACAGTAGTCACGATGATGATCGTACCAGTGCTGGTGACGATGTTGACAACGACGACGGCACGGCCAGTGACGGCACCGATGCTGATCACACCGGCGACGATGACGGCATCTTCGCGTCGGTGATGAAGTTCTTGGATGGAGTTCGACATGCCTCAGGGGGCGACGCGCGAGAGTGGCCTGCATGGTATTATTTGACATGGATCGTTCTTTCCCAGCATGCGCACAAAAAACGTTCACATGCTTTGGCATGCGGCGCGAGAGGCCTGTCTGGCAGAATTCAATGAACATGTTGGTGCACCGATGACTTTTTAAAGAATTAGGAAGAGCGCCTGCGCAAACTGTGTTTGTTTGTTGTTGAAAATCCGCGTTGCGAAACCAGGCTGTATCCATATATTCATATGTCAATATATACACGCATCGGACATTCGGTTTCGATGTTATAATGTATACGAAATCTGAAGTTTTAAAAGATTCAGGCATGCGCGCGCGACGACGCGCGCGTGTCCACTTCGTCCCGATTCTCTCGGTCGCAAGAGATTTTTGAAAATGGATGGTCTTTGATCATCGAACGCGCGCTCATAATTCATATTAGTTGCAGAGGATGACGGGGGGGTCGATACCCGCTACCCCGGGGTGGTTTGGAGTCATATTTTGGATGGGCGATGGGGCAGAATTTCATGCACATTGCAGCACGAACAGGAGGGGGATAATCCCGGGGTGCGGGAAAATTTATTCTTTTTCGAGAAAGTAGACAATACGTGGATCGTGGTATATGTATATGCGTAAGTATTGAGTTGTTGGTGGAACCTGTGTGATGCAACGTTTGCTGCCGAGCTTGAAATTGTCAATTCCACTATTCGCAATCGTCTCACAAACCCACCGCCAGTTGGTTTGCAAAAGCCATGCGGCACTGATTGTGATGACTTCTTGGCGTTGGCTGGTACATCGTTGCGGCCGCGTTCGCGCGCGAAGGCTCGCGCGTTGAGCGGCCAGGCATTATGGTGCGACCGGTGCGGCCGCCGTGGCGCTGACTGCTGGACACTTCCCAGCGCGTTTCGCAGGCCGCGCTAACGCGCGGGCACTTCAGTGCGAGTCAGTGGCTCGGGCGGGCGCGGTATCATGGTGACGTTGACAAGTGCAGACACGATGACGATGGTAACGATGCTGGTGACGATGGCAACCATCACGACAGAAACGTCAATGACGGCGCCGATTCTGATCACGCCGATGGCGAAGATGGTGTCTACGTGTTGGTGTCCACGTGTTGGTGTTGAAGCTTCTGCGCGGATTTTGACATGCGCCCGCGGCCGACGCGCGCGGGTGGGCCGCATACTATCGTGCACGAAAGGGGCCGTGCCCGCCCCCCCCCCCCCGGCACGCGCGTAAGTGCGTACGAATGATTCCGACATGCGCGCGCGAAAGGGCCCTTTGGTCGGATTTGATGAACGTTTTGCAATACGAGTTGTTTGGACTTCGCAAAAACGCGCCCAAATTTCCTTGAAACACCACGTTACAGAACATCTCGTGTTTTGTCCCCGTGCTTTCCACCGATTTGGACATGTTGGAGAAACCGAAGATTTGTGACTGATTCTGGCATCCGCGCGCGACGACACGCCCGTATGCGCTAAGTTTCATTTGTTGCAACGGATGCTTGCACATGGACGGTTCTTGATAAACGAGTGCGCGTGTGTACTATTGGACGATAATGAAGCGGGGATCACTAGTGGCGTAGCTGGATTGGCACGACTTCGTTACAGACTTCAAATGCGCGGTGGGGCAGGACCTCATGTAAACCGTACATCCCCAGGCGCGGGGATAACCCCAAGGGGTGTGACACCCGAGTCCTTTTTGGAAACCAGAAAAACCGATGCGGGCGACGACGAGGCGACGACGGCGGCAACACAGCCGCCAGATTGCTACTCAGGCCCAGACGACGGGCGGTGTAGGGGCGGCGACGGCGGCAACATAGCCGCCAAAACGCCACCCGAACCCAGACGACGTGCGGCGACGCGGTGGCGGCGGCAACATAGCCGCCAAAACGCCAGACAGGTCCAAACGACTGGCGGTGAGGAGGCGGTCCACGGCGGCGATGGCGGCAGCATAGCCGCCTGACCTCTGTTCAAGTCCTGACGACGGGCGGCGACGAGGCGGCGACGGGGCGGCGATGGCGGCAACATAGCAGCCAAACCGCCACCCAGGCGCACTTCCGTAAAGTGAGAAGCTTTGATTGCAAGTGCTGTTTTGGAAATGGTTTGTTGGCACTGGCAGCGCACCCAACCGTTGCGCAACGTGTGGCCAAAATAGTGGTGGACTGAATCAGTCGGGATTGCATTGGGGCAGTCACCCATTTGTTGCGAGCGATACTGGGGAAATTCGCGGGCTGTGCGATTTGCATGACGCCGATCGATGGACAAGGTAATGACGTGTGTCCCTGGTTCGGACAGCAATAGGGCGAGGCCGAAGGGAAACAAAAACACACGGGGACCTGAAAGGTCAGAAATATTGCAACGAGAAGAGATGGCATCAGCAATGGGGCGACGACGAGCGAGGGGCAGAGACGGGAGAGGGATGATGTGCCGAGGCATGCTACCAATCAGTTGCAGTCGGTGCAGGAATTGAGTGAGGCCGAACTGCATTGCCAGCTGTTCTGCCCATCCCCGACAACTTTCAGCGCGGAAGGTACAGGCGCGCAGGGACGCCGCGATGTCCGCGGGCGGCCTGCCAGAAAGGAATTGCAGCCCCCTGTCTTGGATCGTCACGAGATGGTCGACCTTGGTGGACCTGGACGGTATCGCGTAGAGATGAAATCGCAAACTGTCCAGGTCATCGTCGTCTTACCATTCCTTACCAGCCTCGAACTGATCCCTATCCTTCAGATTGACACGCCAAAAGGCGATAACAATCTTAGGGATTCGCCGTCAAAAAAGATTGGCATCGTGATGAGGAGATGCCCAGCATAGGGATAGAGATATGTTCCAGGCTGGTAAACTCCGCGTCGATGATGGCTCCGCCGCGCATGGGCACACGGGCATGACGCCATTGCTGTGGCCCCCCCCAACAACCTTCGACAGTGGCGACAGTTTGGCAGATGGCAGTACCCCCAGGAATGGCAAGGTCAAATTGGCATGGTGCCGATTCTGCCCCCCTGGCAGACATGACATGGCGGTGGCAGTTGCGCAGTTCGCAGCACCGCTGGGGAGATGTACACATCACCTCTGAGAGCCAGCGACTTTATACACCGTCGCCCTCCCTAAAGATACATGCAACAGTCGTCGGAGGGTGTCTGTATATAGAAGTATCTATACACATTCCTATTCCTATATTTGAATAGGGCCGAGGACCCCGGGGGGGGAAACAGAAAAACGCACCTAACAAAATTGGCCCACCCCGGGCCTTTCGGGCAGCCCCCCAGACTACCTGAGAGGACCTCGCGAGAGCCCGAAGACGGCCCCAGAGGGCCCCAGACGTTCTGGCGTGCTCCCGAAACGACTCCGGAGAGCCCTAATACGGTCGACGATGACCCCAAAGGAGCCGTCATACCCCCAAAGATCGCTCCAACGCGTTCCCAGAGGCTTCCAAGTGCATTCCCAAGCGGCACCAAGAAGCAAAATTCATAGATATTCCGTTCGAGTCTCTTCTTTTCGGCCCCAAGCCGGCCCAAGAGGGCCCCGAAATAGTCCCGACAAGGTTCCAGGAGGCCTCAGGAGGCTCCCAAGAGGCCCCGAAGAGACCCCGAGAGGCCTTCAAAGGGCCCAAGGAAGCTCCAACAGGCTCCCAAGAGTCCCAAAAGATCCCGCAAGGACCCCACAGAAGTTCAACAATTACCAACAAAAGCATCTAAGAAAGGCCCAAAACAGGCCAGGAACCTGAACATGACCCCAAGATAACCCAATTGAGCCAGTATGCGTCCCAAAACGGGCCCAAACCATAACGGGACTGCACCACGTCCCACAGACGCCTTCAGAAGGTTCCAGGAGATTCCCAAAAAGGTCCACACGACTCTAACACTCTGAGCGCGAGGCCTCCCAAGAGCAAACGGCGGCGCAAAACAATTTAAGCGTCGAGATAATCGAGCCCCGCTGCGACACGGCCCCAAGGCCCTTACACGGCTCTTTCCATAGTCCCAAAGACACGGTCATTGGTAAGCCCAGGTCGCCGTTCCACATTCTGCTGTGTCCTCCATGCCGTCTCCAACCCAAGTCTTCCGGCATTCGCGAGCCCTTCACTGCGTTTCTGGCCCCTCCCCTCTCTGGGCACGACCGCGTACATGTATATAGACATGCATGTGTGTGTGCACGTAGTAGATATGCCCAAGTAGACCTGATACATGTGTATGCGCAGCCATGTATATTGAGGTGTATCGATGTACGTACATCAATATACCCACACGTCTACCTATATATATATATATATACATATATAATGTATGACATGCATTCGTGTGCGCGCCTGTGACATGTACGCACATATTCGCGCGCGCATTTGCCCGCGCACGCACGCCGCCCGAGTGCGAAACCCAAAGGTGGAGCGAGAGGAACAGTCTCGGTCTGCATGGCCCCCCCCCCCGTGAGGGGTCGCTACAGGCTGGACCGCCCAGGGGCGCAGGCGGGTCGCAGCAGCCGAGCGTGCGGCAGCACCTCGGGGGTGGGCAAGCGCGTGTCCTGGCCGTGCGAAACCTGGGGGGGGGCTCCGCTGGAACACCTCTTGTTCTCTCGTCGCGGCGTGGCAAGGGCAATCCGCCCCCGCGCTCTGAGCGGCCGGGGCGGAGCACACTGCTGGTCGGGTTGCAAGAGACAGAAACAGGGCAGACGGCAGCCGCGGAGCGAGGAAGAGGAGGAGGACAGGAGGAGGAGGACGAGGGAGGAGGAGGACAGGAGGAGGAGGACAAGGGGGAGGAGGAAGAGGAGGAAGAGGAGGAAAAGGAGGAGGAGGAGGAGGAGGAGGAGGAGGAGGGGCATGAGGAGGGGGGAAGGGCACTCACAGCACGAAGGTCTTCGGCGTGAGTGGCCTTGTGCGACCGGCCTGCGTGGGCGTCGCGCCCACACCCAGGGACTGAGGCAGAGGCTGCAGTCGTTTAAGGCGCAGAGACCGCGAGAACACCCAGGGTGGAAGAAGCACGGGGACAGTGGTGCGTTCCCAATCAGCGGCGAGCGAGGAGGGGAAATGAGAAGGAGAAGGCCTTCTCAGAAGGCGGCGGGACTTTTCAGAAGCCCTCGCGCCTTCTGAGAAGTTTCCGGCGTCCTTGGGGAAGGCTGCGAACACTTTTCAGAAGGCCAGGGGACTCCCGAGCCTTCAGAGAAGACCTTTTCTTTCTCACGTCCCCCACGGCCGCGCCGACGACCTAAAGCCCCTCGCGTCTTGAAACATCACACGACGGGCTGTTTTTGCTATTCGCCAGCCCTGGGCGAGGAGGCCAGACCTCCCTGGGGATCCCCGCGATTCAAGGATGACGGCATCGGGGGTCTGGGTTGGGCAGCTCCGCGGGCAAGGGTAATTGTTTGGGTATGAGTTGCGAGTGACGGGGCAGGAGAGAGGAAGAGAGCGAGGGAGGTGAGTAGAGATGAGACGATCGGAAAGAGAAGGAGCTCGGGGGCCTGGGCGCAGGAGACCCGAAGGCTGGTCCATGTGGAGGGAGGTGGGAGGAGAGAAGTGAGCAACACATGTGGGCGCATATGTCAGAGCCGAAGGTGCGCTTGCGAGTCAATTCTGGTGATTGTGCTGGTATTTCGATCTCCTGCGCAGGCAGACCCAGGCACAGGACGAGCTCGACTGCGATGACGCAGCGCACGACGAAAGCGGCCGGTGCTACAAGGCTCCGGAGTGGAGACTTCGTCGTAGAGCTTTTTCCCAGCTCAGGTGTTGCTAGAAGTCGTCCTCGATGAGCAAAGAACTGCATGCACATCAACTTTTGGCGAGCCTCGCGGAACTCTCACATTTCACGTGTATGTAGCTTTTCGTCTTCTGTCTTGGCCCAAGGTGCCCCCTGGTTGTCCCGCCATTTGGGGGTCCCCAGGGCCTTCCGAGCCTCGTGGGGTGTGCCCTGGATGCCATCTGGGTCTCCCCGGAGGTCCTGGGTACGCCGTGGGCCAGGGACACAAGGGGCAACTCCCGATCAGCTGCTCGTGCCCTTCGATCGCCCTGCCCTCTGTCCCCCTTCCGAGTCCTCATCATCATCGTCCCCCCCCAAGTGCTCTCAGTTTTCGTCATGTTCATTAATTCCTCCTCCTCCTCCTCCTCCTCCTCTTCCTCCTCCTCCTCCTCCCTCTCCCCCGTCCCCGCCACCATCCTGCTCCAACTCTTCATCTTCCGAAATCCTCGTTGTCCGAAGCATGCTGCTACTCGTTTCCCCACTGCTCCTCCGTGCTTACACGCCAGCCGTTGAAAGTAGGTATGTCTGGACTCCCAGATCCCAATCTACTTCAAGCGCCTCCCTACTTCAAGAATCGACATGCTTTTGCTGTGTGTGTTTTTTTATTCCCTGGAAGGACCTGGACCTAATCTACTATATCCGCCGTCCTACTTCATGTTTCTACCTACTTCTTCCGACCGACGTGTACTCCGTTCCTCTATTCGGTTATTCCGCCCTGAATCCCTCGCTTCCTTCCTCAATGTATCCATTCGGTCCCCCTGTTCTGCTGCCTTCTTTGGCCACCTTCCACCTCCCGTCTGCAGCTACACACTATGAATACGGCTCGACTCTCTCCCCCGAAGACGACCGAAGAGTGGCGTGCCCCCCCTCCGCGTATAGTGTGTCCACACAGGATTGTGCCGAATGGTTTGACTTCGTTTGCTTTATATATGTTCTTTCAATCCGAATGTTCTCGGCCCTTCCAAGATGGTGCCTCCGCTGCATCGTTGGCCCCATGTTGGTGAACAAAAACACACAGACACACTTCATCGTCGATTGCCCAGAACATATGGGAAACTATGGGCAGCAGGGGGGAAGACGAACATCCAAAACCTGTGGACAAAGATTGGGAATCCTGTACTGTGTGTCTACCTGTTCGTGTGTCCCGGTGCCCGTTCAAGAGCGGCGCTCTCTCGCCCCGTCGTCGCCCCCTTCACTTCCCCCTCCCCACCCTTCCCCGGGGCCCTCCCGCTCCTCGTGCCCCTCCTGCCCCCCGTTGCTGGCATTCCTCGCCGTCGTCCTCACTCCTTCTCCTGGTCTTCTTCCTCCTGCTCACCCTCCTGCTCATCCTCCTGTTCATCCTCCTGCTCATTCCTTCTTCTAGTCTTCTTCCTCCTGCTCATCCTCCTGCTCATCCGCCACCTCCGCCTCCAGTGCGCACAGCTCTCCACTCCAGATTGTGCCCAATTCACACGATGGGATCCTTTTAGGTGTTCTAGTGTCATAAGGGATGGGGGGAGGGGTATGGAGCAGATGTGGCGCGAGCGCACCTAGCCTGCCCGTTCCCCTTTCTCCCCCTGCTCCCCCCTCTCTCCACCCCCCCCTGTTCCTCATCACTCTCCTCCTGATCCCCCTCCCCCTTCAAATCTCTTGTCCTGACCGCTGTCAGCGTCGTCGCCCGACCCCTCCCGGGCCTCGTCCTTTACTCCTCCCCCCTCCTCGTCCTCCCCCCCTCCCGTCTTCCGCTCCGCTCTCCATGCTGCCGCCTCGGCTGCCTCTCCTCTTCCCTTACCTCCTCCCCCCCCCGCGATCTGCAGGCCATCACCTGGGCCTTCGCCAGAGGACTCCAGGCTCATCCGGACTGGTACCCAGACGTGAGCCTCACCCGCGACGCTGCACGCCTCTCGTCGGAGGCGAGCTTCAAGGACGCCAGGCCGAGCCGAAGCACCACCTGGGGGCCCCCCGCGGCTCGAGGCAGGCGGGCTCTCACCCTCACCCCCCCTCCCCTCATCCTCCTCCTCCTCCTCCTCCCTCCTCCTCCTCCTCCTCCTCCTCCCCCTCCTCCTCCTCCTCTCCTCCACTCCAGAGGGGGGGAGTTTTCAGACCCCCCCATCTCTTTCAAAGTGCGGGGGGTGGGGTGGGGGGGGGCTTCGGACCGGCGACCGGGGAAAAGAAGGGGGGTGGGGGGGGGATCCTGGACCGAAACTGGGGCGAATTACAAACGCTTGGGACGTATTCCAACAACTGTGGTACGGATTCCAACAAGTTGGTACACATCCCAAGAGCTGTGGAAGCTCCTTGAACATTCTGGTTCCATGGAGATTTCTTAGACGTTCTCGCGAGGATCTTTAGGATTTCTCAAGGTTTGATCGGGATTCCTAAGGGATTCGTTCGAGAGTCGGACATTCTTCAGAGTTTCCTTAGGGAGTCCTTCGGCTTCCTCCGGAATCCTGTGACATTTATTAGAGATTCCTTAGGAAACCTCCGGATTCCTGAAGATTCTTCAGGATCCTTCTGGGATTCTCATGGGGTCATCCGGATTCCTGGCAGATTCTTAGGCGTTCTCGTGATTCTTCACAGATTCCTCATGGCTCTGCAGAGATTCTTCCAGATTCCGTAGAGGTTACCCAGGGATCTCCGTGGTTATTCAAAGATTTTCTTGTTTTTGTTCCGAGATTCCTCGTGGTTATTCAGGGAGCCCCGTGATTATTGAAAGAAGTTCTGTTTTGATTCAAAGACTCCCCTGGTTTCTTAGATACCCAGTAGTTTTTCTTATATATTTTTCGGGAGGCCTCGTGATTATTCACGTTCTTTGTGGATCGCCAGAGACTTCAAAGTTTTCTTAATGATTTTTCATGCTTCTTCAGAGTGTCCGTGTGATTCTTCAGAGCTTCGTTAATCTTTCTCATGCTTATTCAGGGATCCCTCGTGGTTCTTCACAGATCAGTCGGCCTTCCCCAGTTATTCCTCTGGATTGCGAGCGTTCCTTCAAAGCTTCCCATTGATTCTTATTCAGAGAGGTTCCTCGAGTTTCCACAGAGATCCCCTCGATATTCCCCAGGGATTCCTCTGTCTCGTAGGGTTCCTCAGGCAGGCTCCTTCCAGGATGTCTTGTGGTTCCTCAGGGACCCATCTGATTTTTCAAAGATTCACTGGGGCTCCTAATGATTGTTCGGAGACGCCTCATAATATTCAGAGATTCCTTTGGGTTCCTCATGCTTCTGCAAAAGTTCCTCGCGATTCTCAAGAGGTCCTTCGGGGTTCCTGAGGATCCCTCGCGGCTTTTCAAAGATACCCCGGGCTTCCTGAGAGATTCCTTGGAGATTCTCCGGGGCTCTCGATAGATTCCTCAGAGAGTCCTTCCAGGATTCTTAGGGAGTTCTTAAAACGGATTCCTAGTCGATTCCCTGTGGCTTTCCGAATGATTCCTGAAGGATTCCTTGCACCATTCTTCCAGAAGATTCCTTCTGATGTCCTGAAGGATTCCTTCCTGAAGGATTCCTGAAGGACATGTCCAGGATGTCTGAAGAATTCCCGAACGGATTCCTGTTAGACTCCTCAGACATTCCACCGGATACCTGAGACAGTCTCTCCAGATTCCTCTGACAGGTTCCCAGCATTCCTGTTGGATTCTCCACATATCATTCCCAGGATTATTGGTGTATGGGCATTCCTTTTGCAGGATTCCTTTGCCAGTCCTTTTTCGGTGTTCTGGTGGGATTACTGCGTGACTATTTCGACGATTCATCAGAAATCCTTCCAATATTCTTCGGAGGTCGTTGCATGATTCCTTGGGGATCCTGGTGGCGTTCCTCGGAGATCCGCACAGGATCCCAGAGAAATCCGAACAGGATTCGCATCATATGTTTCCAGGAACCATGCGAGATAATTCCAGGATCCTTGCGAGATCCTTCGAGGACCCCCGACAGCTCTTCTCAGGATCTTTGACATATTCATATAGGACCCCTCGGGGACGCCAGACAGACTCACTGCAAGATCCTTGCAGGATCCTTGCGAGATCCTTACAGGAAGCCTGGGAGATCTCTTCATGATGCATAGGAGAACCCTACAGGATCCCTAGGAGATCCTTGCAGGATCCTTGAAATATCCGTACAGGGCCACCGAGAAACACTTACAGGATCCCCGAGGGATCGTTACAGGATTCTTGCGAGATCCTTCCGTCATCCCTGGGAGGGCCTTTTTCACGTTTCTTGTCGGAGCTTTCCAGGATGTCCGAGCGATCCTTGCAGGATGGTCGAGAGATTCTTACAGTCGGTCGGCACAGTCTGGCTGAACGACGTTCTAAGGTTGCCCTTGCCTCCTTCCCCTGCGGCCCATCCTGGGCCGCGTTCGCTGGCTGCGGCAGCGAATTTCATTCATTTCGCGCTCTTGGTGCCACAATCCGTTGTACATTGCGCTATGCTATGTCCGTGCTCCCAGGGCCTCGATCCAATGTCAATTACGTTGGGTTCGGGCTCCCAGCGCAACGACCCCTCGCAACTTACGTCGGGCCTCTCTAAAGGCCACGATCCCTCGTACACTATTTTGGGTTCACGATCCCAGGGCCACGACCCATAGTAAATTACATTGCGTCCGCGCTACCAGGGCCGCGATCCTTCATGGATTGCGCCGTGTCTGCACTTCCAGGGCCACTACACTGCACAGTACGCTGGGCTCGCGCTCCGTGGGCAACGACCCTTTGAAATTACGCTGCGTCCGCGCTCCCAGGGCCCGGATCCTTTGTACCTAGTTTACGCTCCAAAGGCCACTGTTCCTGATAAATTACAGTCGGGGCGAAGAAGAAGGAACCCTTTTCGTTTGGGAGGGGCTCCGTGTTCCTTAGTTGTTTTACAGTGCTCCTTGGGTGTTCCTGAGGTTTGCCATGGAAAACCTGAGTTTAACTTATGGGGAAAAGGGGCCTCGTTCCTTGCTCATCGTTCCTTAGGTCAACGCCCCGAGTGTACGTTGGGTCGGGGCCCTGAAGAAGGAACCTTTTTCGTTGGGGAGGGGCTCCGTGTTCCTTCGGTTTTCGATACGAAATCGAAGCTCAACTTATGGAAAAAAGGGGCCTCGTTCCTTATTTAGGGTTCCTTTGGTCAACGCCTCGACTGTACGGGGTTCACGCTCCAAGGGCCACTGTTCCCGATAAATTACGTTGGGTCAGCGTTCCGTGGGCACCGATCCTTCGTACATTATTTTTTGTGTCCGCGCACCCAGGGCCACGATCCCTCGCAGAAGTACAGTGGGTTCGCGCGCTACTAGGGCCTTAGTCCCAAGTGAAACACGCTAGGTTCGCGCTCCCGGGGCCGCGCTCCATAGCGAATGATATATCTATATCTATATATATATATATATAGTTCACGCATCCACGGCCACGATCCCTCGTGATCTACGCAGCGTCCGCGCTCTCGAGGCCACGCTCCCTTGCAAATTACGCTGCGTCCGCGCTCCCGGGGACACGAAGCACCGCGCACAAGTTGCCCAACAGCCATCCCCCCCCCCTCTCCAGAGCAGAAGCCAATACCTTTTCTGGTCTGGGATCTGTGTTCTGGGGGCGCTTTTCGGGAATCCATCCGCCGTTTCCTGAAGACCATCGCTGGACCCGAAGCAGCCGCGAACCCTTGTAAAGCACGCTGCGTCCGCGCGCCTACGATCCCTCGCAAAGTACAGTGGGTTCGCGCTCCCAGGGCCACGATCCTTCGCACATTACACTGGGTTCACGCTCCCATGGCCACGAGCCCTCGTCACTTACACTGCGTCCGCGCTCCCATTGCCAGGACCCTTCGTAAATGACGCTGCGACCGCGCTCCCAGGGCCAGGATCCTGCATGAGTTGCGCTGCGTCTGCGCGCACCGGGGCACGATCCTTTGTCAATTGTGGTTTGTCCGCGCCCCCAGGGACAGGATCTCTGGTAAGCTACGCTGCGTCTGCGCCCCCAGGGCCACGATCCCTCGTCAGTTTCGATGTGTCCGCGCCTCTGAGGACACAATCTCTCGTAACTTACTTTGTGCCAGGCCTCCAGGGCCAGGATCCCGTGTAAATTACGCTGCGTCCGCGCTCCCAGGGCCACGATCCCTAGTACATTACATGGTGTCCGCGGCCTCAGGACCGCGATTCCCCGTAAATCACTTTGGGTTCGCGCTCCCAGGGTCACGATTTTTTGTGAATCATAGTGGGCGCCGCACCTCCAGGGCAAGGATCCCTCTTCAATTGCGCTGCGTCCGCCCTCCCATTCCAGGACCCCTCGTAAACTGCGCGGCGTTCGCGGCCCCAGGGCCGCGATACCTTGTAAATAACAGTCCGACCGCCTTCCCAGAACCACCTGCCCTAGGCGATGCGTAAGAAAACTTCATCTTTCGGCCAGAGTCTCGATTATTCTTAATGTTTCAATGTAAATCCTATGATTAGAATCGAAGTTCTGGGTTTTTATTCAAATTATGAGACTATGAATTTCTGAACCCATGATTTCTTAAGCATATCGCAGGGTGTGGGCATCCTGGGGCGCCGAGGCCTTTCAAGCGCTGCAAAACAAGTTTCGCTCAAGAGAGATCTTCAGATGCTCGGCGCGCAGGGCGCGCCGTCCTCGAGGGGGCACGCCACACGCCAACGTTCCTTATGCAAAACCAGCCCGGAGCTCGAGACGTTCTGGAGATTCCTGCGCGCAGGACGCGCCATCCTCGCGCGGGCACGCAAACGTTCAACTGCTCCATCTGAAAACATTACGGTCTCCGAACTCAGTGATTTAGTTGGGATTCTGCGCAAAACGCTCCACACACACACTTGTTTACAATGGAGCGCGGGGGTCTGCGGACCCCGTCATGCAAAGAGGATCCGAGATGGGGGGCGCATGTTCCTCGAGCGGGCACGCGCGAAATACATTTTTCCGCGCCGAATGGGTCTTCGCTTCGTTGTTGGTCGAACGGACATTTGCTGGCCCACCTGAGCATGGCACCGGGGGACAGTTTGACATAACTAAGAGGGAACCTGGGAACCTCACTCAAAGACGAGGTCTGCCCTGTCTGATGGGGAGCTCAGACCGCCAGGGCCCGCACGGCGCCTCCCTCGCCGCCCGGAGAGGTCGGCCCACCCCTCACGCCCTTCGTGGCCGGCCCCACGGGGAGGGCTCACCAAGGCCACCACGCCAGGGTCCGCGCAGCGTCCCCCCTCTCTGCTGCCTTCCTTCACCACCCACCAAACCACCTCAACCCAACCCGAAGGCTCAGATTTACCCTCGATTTCCAGTGGGGGGGGTGTCGGGAAACATAGAAAAAACACATGTGGAACCCTTACCCCCCCCAACCCGAAATTCGGGTCTTCGGGTTGGGTTGGGGTGGTCTGGTAGGTAGTCATTCCTCGGGGTGTCCGCGTCCAGTCCGCATCGCGCCCGCGCCGGGCCCACGAAACGATCCGAATGCTGGACACGGGCGAGGTCCCCCGAGGATGCAACGCGCCCCCTCCTCGAGTCCCGCACATTTCTGCACACCCCTCACGCGGGCCGTGGGCCCAAAAGGAGCTGCCATGAAAGCTGGGCAGCAGAGGGAGAACAGGACAAGGATCAGGAGCAAGAGCAGACGGGGCGGGAAAGAGGAGGAGGAGGAGGAGGAGGAGGAGGAAAAGGAGAAGGAGGAGGAGAAGGAGGAGGAGATGGAGGAGTTGGGGCCGAGGGAGGAGGAGCACATGGAGGAGAGGGGGTGGAGAATCAGGGGAAGGGGGGCGGGTGAGGAGGAATCGGCGGTGCTCCGCTCCTGGCCGCCCCCCAGGAGGTCCAGGCCAGCCTCTACCGCCGAGGCAAGGCCGGCTGCGGAAAGCCCTGCCCGATGGGCTACGTCCGCCCGCCGGCGCCCTCGGCCTGGCCCTCAGTGGGCTCTTCGGCCCGGCGTCCTCGGCCCGGCGTCCTCGGCCACAGGCCCCTGTCCAGCGGTCGGGGCCCCATCTGGCGGCCGATGTCGCCGATCGATCCCGTCGATCCACGGGTCCGAGCGGTGGGCCTCTCGATCGATCGACGGCCGGTGGACGAGGGCCCTCGGCGCTCGGGGTCGAGGGGCTGCCTGGGCCTGCTGCGCTGGCATCCTGATGCGGCCCTGGGTCGGCCCGCCGATCGATCGGGACCTGGAGGGCTGATGGGAACCTTGGAGCTGGAGGCCTTGGGTCAGGAGGGAACAAAAACACACCGACACAATTCATCGTCGTCGATTCCCCAGAAAACATGGGAAAATATAGGAAGTGGGGGGAAGACAAAAACACAGAAAATATACGAAAATATGGAATATTTCTATTTGTGTGTATTTATTAGTGTGTCCCAGGGCCCCTTCATTGGGGTGGGTCTGGCCTGCTGCGTCGGAATTGGGGTGCGGTCCTGCGTTGGCCTTCGCTGGGGGGCGTTGTCGTCGCCACGGTTGGAACTTCCCTCCAAGTCCTCGTCCGGAAGAGTGTTCGGCTGCCTGCAGCAAGTCCCACCACCGTACCAGCCCGGCCTTGGGTGGCGGCTGTTCAAGGCACGCACATGGTGCTGTAGGGTGTATCACCTCGTGTCCCGAAGCTTGGGGGAGCCGTGCACTGTCACACGCTCTTCCGAGTCGTGTCGGGGTGTCTCTCCCCGTGTTCGTCCTCGTCTCTTTCCCGTCGTCTTCCTTCCTCCTCTCTTCGGGGGAGACTCTTTGGGTCGTCTTGAGCGCTGTGGGGCAGATCGGCGCTTTCGGGGTCCGTCTTTGGGGTCTCTCTTAGCCGTCTTGGGGCCGAATTGGGGTCCCAAAAGGTTCGTCTTGGGGTTCTCTTCTGCTGTTTCGGGGTGGGCCGTGTGAAAGGTCGCCAGGTACTCGCCAGTCCAGGCGCCACACAACCACGTAGTAGAAGACCGACCACTACAGACAGGACCACAGCAGGAAACGATACTCACAGGAAAGCAAGAAGGACGACCAGACTATTACGTGGCAGTGCGTCTGCAAAAGGAACAACCCAAAACACACTTGGAAATGTCATTGCAAATACCATCGGCGAAACCAAACCTGGCCACCACGATAAAATCGTACCTACTAAGAGACAGGCATCTACGGAGTGGATGTGGATATTCACACGGGAGGGCGAGGAATACCGTAGCACCCCGCAGTTGCGGAAATGAGTGAGGGGGCGTCGAGGACGTCGTCAGTCTGAGAGGCTCTGAAGAAGCCCACCGCAGGCGCCTAAGTGTTTCAAATTATGCATTGAGCCCGCCGCAGGCGCTGATCTTTCCTGTGAAGCAATGTGGCTGGATCGCGGGGTGGGTCGCAGGTGGGTCACGGGTGGGTCGCGGGTGGGTCGCAGGCCGGATCGCGGATGGGTCGCGGGTGGGTCGCGCATGGGTCGCGGGTGGGTCGCGGATGGGTCGCGGGGTGGGTCGCGCGTGGGTCGCGGGTGGGTCGCGGGTGGGTCGCTGGGCAGTTCGCGGGGTGGATCGCGGGGTGGGTCGCGGGTGGGTCGCGGTGTGGGTCGCAGGGCGGGCCGCGGGCGGGTCACGGGCGGGTCACGGGGTGGGTCACGGGTGGGTCGCGGGTGGGTCGCGGGGTGGGCCGCGGGTTGGGTCGCGGGGTGGGTCGCGGGTGGGTCGCGGGTGGGTCGCAGGGGGGACGACGACAACAAACAACAACAGCAACAACAACGCAACAAGCAGAATCCTCACCACGGATCCGCACTAGAGCCACGCACCCAGAGACAATGAATGACCGTTCGGCCCCCTCCGTCTGATTATTACGACAACCGCCACAAGTGCCGTACACGAATCTATGAATTGGCGAAGTCCACCACCGCCAACACGGCAACACTATTCTCATGCCAGTGCCTTAACACGAACGTCACCTGCATCAAATGCATGATCCAGTCAATCGAAACCGTGGACAAAGGACCCAAGCAACTACAAGCTAAGAGATCCAACCGTATTGAGGTTGGGCAGACTTACGACACAAGGTTCAGAACACCAGGCAGGACAATAACAAGAACGATGAGAGGCTCGAGAGCATTGCCAGAGCCATTGGACGCGCACGGCAACAAGCGGACGGCTTGGCAGCTGGACCGAGGAAGGCACACACCGCAAGACTTGCGCAAGGAACGGAACCACCCTTGCAGCAGGTCCAGCAGGGAACTGCCCCACCAAACGCCATCACGGACCTCACTGACGTTGTTAAGACACTACAGCATTCTCTCAGCACGGCCCTTGCAATGATCGAGGACACCGCGCCCAGGGAATGCGTCGAAAAGAGCGCTCGACGACACCCTTGTGGAGACCGCCGCAGTGGACAACAAGCAGCACCGCCATAACACTGACCAAGACACAGAGACCCTCCAACAGGAGTTGGTCGCCCCAGCTACCCTCCTGGAGAAGGAAATCACCGAGGCCGGGAGCAGCTCCAAAAGGTGCATGAATGAGCAACAGGAGCCATACCAGACGGAACTGACTTTAGCTATCGACCAAGCATGAACGCATGTTTAGAGCCACATCGAGGACCTCACAACCGAGGGGAATTCTTTCCAGACCGAGGTGGGCAAGCACAAGATAAGCCTGTATGACGCGCCCACCCGTTTGAAATTAGCACTTGAGCTGAGGACCAAGCTGGCAGACAAGGACCGCCTACTCGCCTGCGAAGAGATCGCAGGCCAATGCACACAAACGACTGCAGCAACTCACCGAGGCATGCAACCACGACCTCCACAACCACGGGTACAACCGAGAGGTGGCCGCCGAAGCATTCAAGCACAGCATGCGACACGAAGAACTACATCTCCAGTACGACAAGAAGATACAATGCCTGATTGACATCAACACTTCCAGGAGTCATAGAGAGTCGGCCATGGCCAATGACAGGCAAAGCCTTGCGCAGTCCGATACGACCACCAGCCACCTCCGAGCTGAACAACAGACAACGGAAGCCTTGCCAGCATCAAGGGAGCGTTATTGAGAACTCTTACGAAAAAACCACGAACAATGCGCACAAGCGGAGATTACCCGCTGCGCGCAGATCAAAGGGAGGCGGGGCGCATGGCCGAATAACGACTCGACGAGCTGAACACCATGAGCAGCCAGTACGAGATCGAACGGGATCAACCCACGAACCCGGAAAGGGATAGAGAAATTGCGAGGCCTGGAAACGCGTCAAATAACCTCAATTGGGCGATGGGCAGAGGCAGTGCTGAAGATATCATTGGTGAAGATACTGTACCAGGGCTGCGTCGTACTCCGTTGCGCTGTGTCGTGCCGCGCAGTGACGTGCCAGGGGGAGCGCCAGGGGACATGCCGCGGGACGCGCCAAGGGTCATGCCAGGGTGGCGCGCCGCGGAACGTTCCAACGGACGCGCCAGGGGACGTAGGTCGGGACGCATCGTGGGACGTGCCAAGAGGACGCGCCACGGAACGTGGCGCTTCCGACCTGGGTGCTGACGCAAAGTAGTCCCTGGAGGTCCCCAGGGATCTCCAGAGGCCTTAAGATGTCAGAGAGAACGCGTTTCACGGGCGCTTGCCTTGGGAACATTCGGCGGCGCGTTTCGAACCGGGGGGTGGCCCCCCCCCCAACACTCCAACCTTCGGCGCAGCCGATCAGAACCAAGGGGGACTCTCCCCCCCCAAACCCCTCCCTCCCGAACCCCCCCCCCCCTCTCCCAAGGGGGGGGGGGTCAGAACCCCCCCCCTCGGCGCCTGCGCCGGCGCCGGCGCTCGCGGCCGCCAGCAGCGCCCACGGCGGGGACGCAGCGACGAGGACAAGAGGCAGCCAAAGGGGGGGAGGGGGGGGGGTCCCAACCGCATGTGGGCCCAATCCCAACCCACTGGGCCCAATCCCAACCAACTGGGACCAATCCCAACCAGTGCGAAAAGCAAACTGGGCCCAATCCCAACCATCTTGGGATAGCCCAACAACAGGATTTTAATTGTAGAGAAGCCCAAGACGACTGCGAAGACCAAGTGACACTCCTTATGTCAATGCAGAGGATCTGGAAGCCAACATGCGTGCTCGGGTTGGAATTGGTCTCATTTTTTGGTCTGCGCACGAGCACTACGTTAAGATGAGCAAGAGGGCACCGGAGCGTAAGCAAAAACGCACCGAATTGCATCGATGTTGAAATATGCAAATGTGTCCTCCTAGTACTAATAGTAGTAGTAGTAGTAGTAGTAGTAGTAGTAGTAGTAGTAGTAGTAGTAGTAGTAGTAGTAGTAGTAGTAGTAGTAGTAGTAGTAGTAGTAGTCGTAGTAGTAGTAGTAGTAGTAGTAGTAGTAGTAGTAGTAGTAGTAGTAGTAGTAGTAGTAGTAGTAGTAGTAAGAAGTAGTGGTGAAGTAGTAGTAGTAGGAGAAGTAGTAGTAGTAGTAGTAGTAGTAGTAGTAGTAGTAGTAGTAGTAGTAGTGGTGGTAGTAGTAGTAGTTAGTAGTCGTAATCGTAGTCGTAGTGGTCGTAGTAGTCGTAGTAGTAGTAGTAGTAGTAGTAGTAGTAGTAGTAGTAGTAGTAGTAGTAGTAGTAGTAGTAGTAGTAGTAGTAGTAGTAAGTAGTAGTAGTAGTAGTTAGTAGTTAGTAGTAGTAGTAGTAGTAGTAGTAGTAGTAGTAGTAGTAGTAGTAGTAGTAGTAGTAGTAGTAGTAGTAGTAGTCGTAGTAGTAGTAGTAGTAGTAGTAGTAGTATAGTAGTAGTAGTAGTAGTAGTAGTAGTAGTAGTAGTAGTAGTAGTAGTAGTAGTAGTAGTAGTAGCAGTAGTAGTAGTAGTAGTAGTAGTCGTAGTAGTAGTAGTAGTAGTAGTAGTGGTGGTAGTAGTAGTCGTAGTAGAAGTAGTCGTAGTCCTAGTCGTCGTTGTAGTAGTCTTAATCGTAAACATGGTGGTAGTGGTAGTCGTAGTAGCAGG